CCAGCCTGAAATTGTTTCAGCTAGAAGCATCTGCCGAAGAAACCGATGCCGGTAGCGACAAAAACCCTGCGGGGAACTCTGCAAAAAACGCATCTTCGCACGGGCAGCCCGTGCGTTGGCCATTTTTACTATCTGCCTTTACACTTCTCCAGTCCCTGACATCTTTCTCAAGAGTGATTCATACTTTTTCTCAGATATTCAAAAGCTGAACTTTTTGTAATTTCTGACGAAGCGGTGACAATAAAGTAAACTATTATTTTTCGAGACAAAACGAGAACGGCTGTCCGATCATAAATCCGACAAAAGAAAACTCAGATGATTACAAATAAGGTGATTCTTTGCACAAAACGATAAATCATTTTAAAACTGATTCAAGCTTGTCAAAGGAAACCTGTGTGAATTTGACTGGATTGAGCAGAATAGTACAACGATTAACTGACAGCAACACACATGAACATCCTTGCATCAGCCGAGAGCCCCAGGCAGTCCAGAGATACACTTGCGCAATCGCCATTCCGTACTCGCCGAGATACACGGTCGACAGTGCTCCAAGGGATGGTAACAAAGAACCAAATGTACAATTTATCGCTGATAGGATATCGATGAATCCTTTGACAATAACAATTTGTATGTAAAGGCAGTTACTTTTAGCTTCAGCACTTCTACGATAGCGGATAAAAACAGCGATTATGAATGAGTATATAGGAATGGTGATCATCGTCAGGAATACGATTAGCACGCTTATGTAAGCTTCCGCCGTGCTCAGTGCCATTTTATAGCTGTAATTTGCATTAACTAATGAAAGTTACCGGAGAAACCATTGAAAAGTGATGACACTCAGATGCTCATGTTTCTCATACATGGCCAAAAACAAACACTCTTTTTGTAATAGCTCATCGCCAACAAAAATTTAAAAGCAAGAAACTTCAAATCTGAAAATAAGTAGCTACAAGTGCTACCACTCACTGACTACTCCAGCCTAATAAATCCTAAAAAACAGCTACTGGCTGTACCACCTTTAAAAATACTATCACAACAGAAATCAGCAGTAGAATGAATCAACAAATTGAGTTAATTGCAGTTTCTTCTAAAAATTATCAATTTTTACGATTTTGTTTATTGGAACTCCTCTCTTCCCTGTCACCACAATAATAATTCCCCTATTTTAGCCCCTCCTCTCGTCCGACTTCATCGCCTTTACTTTTAGCAGAAATTTTCGTCTACGCTGCTGGTTTTGCTGCTTAAAAAGCTTAAGGATTATCTTGAAAGGGTTTGCATCGGTAATCCAAACGGTTGAAAAAATTTTGTTAAAAGGCCTAAACAATGGACTGTGATAAAAGCTGAGAAGCAGTAACGGCTTAAATCCCCTAAATGGTTGATGAACTTTATAAATTTGTAAATAAATCCCACTTAGTTCTTTCACAAATGCATTCAAAAGCATAAGGAAAATTAAAATCTGTGATCGGATAAAAAGGAAGCAAAATGCTGAAAGGCTGAAAGAAATACCATTTGTTTCAGGTTCATACGACTTATTTCATAAGCCAAACTTCGAGCCATTTAAATGAAGCAAAAAGAGACATTATTTTAAAAAATTCATCTGACGGAACAAGGAAATAAAGCAAAGCCAATTTAAAATCATGGAGGAGATCTGTTAAAAGCCTTTTTAACTCTGATATACCCCTCAAATGAATAATACGTCATGGTAATGCCATAAAACACTTCCTAAAGACAGCTTCCACGTTTCTTCACGCTTTGTGAAAAAAGAACTTTGTGTTGCTAAAACCACATATTTGTATCTGTGCGAGTGTCTGTTTGTGTATGTATGTGTTCATATGTATTTGTGCGTGCGCGCTTTTCTTTCAGTGCTCGTACTACAAATCACAAAAGCTTGAATTCTGAGATACTGAAACGATCCTCCATCGTATGCGTAACGAGAAGCTGATTTCAACTTGGTCTTTTCGAACCCTCTTCTATGGCTTCATATCCATATTCGAGCATATTTTATATCGAATACAAGCAAAGCTGGCAACTTGAAATTTTAAACATTTAGTTCACCATGCAACATGACTTAAACATATTGCAGCAAACTCTCCTTCCAGACCTGCGCTAATTTTACAAGCCGAAACAAAAAAAGCCAAGAACTCGAAATCTTCGAAGCTAAATTTGTCACATGTCCTGTTGCGTTTTACCAAGATCCTGTCTTAGCACTCTCATTTTAAAATCGTAAGTCATTACCACATCCCATACTGCAGTTAGAGAGTACTGGCCAAGATTCGAAACTGCTATATTGTTATTGTTCTTCCAGTACAGCTACGAGATAAGCTAGTAATTTAAAAGTCTCATGCATTAGCCTTCATATCTAAAATCACTTCTAAATTTCTCTTCCGTCTCACATGTGGCCAAGCTGAGTTTGAAATTGCAAAATTCAGCAACTAAAAAAGATGTAAAGCCTAAATTTTACAAGGTATTTCCTGATTGCGCACCGACAAGACAAAACGTGAAAAAAAAAAGAGTCAAAATGAATCGACGTATCAAACATTAAAGCAAATAAAGTTCTTAACAATGAGCATCCCCTGGGCAAAATTGCACAAAGCGCTTTCTGGCATCCGATACGTGTTCGGGGGCTACTTATTTTCTTCACGCGTTCGAAATTTTCTATTCCTTTCATACAATTATTAATTCAGAGCTCACTGTAGTAAAGTTCAAGCTATATGCTTTGGCAGGCTTAAATAAGAGTTGTTAGCGAAAAACACGACATAGTCTAATGCTCATTTCTGTTGTTTCCAATTGGTACGCTCTATCCTAGCATTCTCTATTACTTTCTAGTTTCAAACTCTAGGGTCAGCAGTTGGTAAAAAAGTGACTACTCTCTCTCCAATCTACTCTTTATCCTGTGTTCCTCTAACACTGCAATTTTTTTTACTGCGGATTAGCTGGCTATCACCTGTGTGGGCTTTGTTAATTATTTATATTTCGTAATAGTCTGGAAACGAATGAAGAATACCAGCTGCCCCAGCTTTTCGTCTTTTTCCTTCAAACTCACTTTAAGTCCACTTAAGTTTACTCTTTTCCTTCAGTAGGTTGAAAGGCAAAATGCACGAGTAAAATCGCACTTGGAACTTCAAACGGCACAGCGTAGCGATGTCGAAAACAAAATCGATACCTTCAGAACAATTTCAAATCTTTTGTGATCCTTGCGACAAACCCAAGAATATGAAAGTTCATTTTACAGTCTTGAAGCTGTTTGCAGCAAGAAACGATGTATCCAAATTTAGATTTCCTGATTTTGCAGTTCTAGAATTGATTCAGTACGATAGACTATCTGCTCATAAAGCACTGGCATATAAAACACATGATTTTTATGCGTTTTCACATATTCACATATTTGCAAGTGCAAAAACGCATATTGTGACGACGCATGGTTGTTTGTGTCTGTCTGTGTCTGTCTGGCTGCCTGGGTATTTCAATCCGGCAAATAAGCAAGCTTTGGCGCCAAAATTTTGCCGATGGGCTCCCTGGCCAAATGCCACCCCAGGACTGCGGCACCAACCCTCAAGCAAGTCTTGTCCCTGCGTACGAGAGAGTGGGAGTTTTGGCAGGAAAATTGCTAACTCGGGAGCGAGAAAAGACAGAAAGCTGAAGCTTTGAAATCATGTTCCCGCCCACATATAACTCAAAGACTTCAAATTCAACCCCATGATTCCCGCGTACAGCCCCGTGAAGTTTTTTAGCTGGAAAATGGCTAGCTCGGGAACTAGCAAAGCTGGAAGGCTGGAATTTTAGGAGAATATTCCCCGTCCAAATACAAATTAAAGGATTCATATTCAGCCTCTACGTACGCGTGGTTCTCGTGTACGGGCAATTAAATTTTTGGGGAAATTACTCGTTAGAACAGCCGAGTCATTTTCAAAAAAAAACGACTGCTAAACGGAAATTGTTTATTTCCTTTTGTGCAAAATTTACGATGATTTACGGCATTGAGCGCACAAGGTAAGTGTGAAGAAACAACCGTCCATGCAGTTAACCTAATTACTTCAAATTTGGTGCAAAAACGCATGATCGCACCGGCGCGCCTGGTGCGTTCCAGTCTGGGTTGTATTTACAAACATGCAAAAATGCATGAAAAACGTTCGGTCGCACCGACAAGCCTGACGATTTCCAGCTGAGGGTTCATAATGCATTTTTGAGGTGGTTTGTGCAAAATCGTACAGAAAGATGAATCGTCAAAGTCTGTGCTGTCCTGTCCCGATCATTAGCGGAAAATGTTGGTTGCCTGCAACTGGGTAAAAAAGAAAACGACGCAGAATTAACAGGGCAGTAAAACAAGTAAGATAAGTAGAAGCAATTATTTCTTATATAAGAGTATGACTGCGGTCTCTGATTTTTCAGACTTTGCTCATATAAGTACGAAAAGCGTTTACTGAGGGCTTAATAAGATACAAGGTATGACGAAATAAACTTTACAAATTTTAACTTTTTGACTTTATTTTATTTACTGATTATAAAACTAATGCAATTTTAAGCGTCAAATTATCGGTCTGGAACGAGAAGCATTTATTGTATTCAATTATCTGTTTGTTAGCGATCAGAAACGCTCCTCTTCAGGATTTCATTCTCTTTTTGATTCATAAAATCTGTTCATATTTGGACGTAGCAGGCAGGCAGGTCAGGACAAAAAAAGTACAGTAATTGATACCAGCTTTTCGATTTAGTCTATGGCCGAGGGGTTGTCTGCAAAATTTTGAATTTGCGTCTTCTCGGCTGAGTTTGAAAAATTTTTCTAAACTGGGGCCGTGGTAACAAAGAACAGGACACAGAGGAACTTAAGGAATTGTTTTGTTTCTGGGGATTTGTGCACAGTGAAAAATTTTGTTTACACGTATTAGCGCCCAGATTTTTCTATTTCAGGCGTTAAAATACAAACAGGCAAGAGAGCAGATACAGGGGTAGTCCCAATTTAATAGTTTTTTATGCGTTTTTGCATACATGTTGCGTGTGTATGGGTGTGTGTGTTTGTGCGCACGCGCGTCTGTCGGGTATTTCAACTCGGCAACCAAGCAAACTCCGGCGCCAAAATTTTGCCAGCGTGTTCCCCGGCCAAGCGTCGTCCCAGGACTGGGATACCAACCCTCACGCACGTCTGAGCCCCGTTTATGACCACTTGAAAATTTAGATAGGAGAACCGCTAACTCGGGGACCAGAAAAGTTGCGAGGCCGAAATTTTCAAGGCAAGTTCCCAGTACACTTAGAACTTAAAGATTTCAAATTCAGCCCCCGGATATTGTGTTTCTCACGTATGGCCCCACGAAATTTTTTGGCAGGAAAGCCGCTAACTCGGGAACCGAAAAACTGGAAAACTGAAATTATAGCAGAATGCCTCTATCCTAGTTGCACAACTAACTTCCTGAAGTTGGCGGATCAGTATGTCACAATTTCTTATTACTGAAATTCGAAGCGATCTTACTACAGCACGAAATACTGCAAAAACGCACGATCGCACGGGCCCGCCTGGTGCGCGTCGCCAATGATTGTATTTTGGTGCAGTGTAAAAGTGATCAAGAATAACAACATACGGTTCTCTAGGCATATGGAAAAAATGCAGGCAATGTCTGCTACCCGGACTAAAAAGCAAAACTTTGATTAGACTTATTAAGGAGCTGCTGAACTTTTCAGGCATGATGAAGGCAAAAATAAAAGTCCAAAGCTCAATACGCTCACCAAGCAAACTAATCTGTTTTCTTTTTTCAAATATTTTAGTAATTTAAAAAATCA